ATGCTCCTTGGAGTCAAGGATTCTGAAGCTTCGTCTGACATACTTTGGGCATGTTGCAAGGAGGGACTGGTCCTTGGAGAGGGACGTCATGTTTGGGTGATTGGAGGGGCGGCACAGGAGAGGAAGACCCTCGATGAGATGGATCGATTCTGTGAGTGGAGTGGTGGGAATGAGTGCGTTGAGACAGCCAGGTAGGCACAGGATAGAACGGCATTTAGGGCTCTTGTACGTAGGGTCACTATGAGTTGCAAGAGACTCGATGGCACATAACAACCACAAACAAGAACATGTTAAAAGTATACATTTTTATTTTCTATACAGTTATGGTGGGAGAAACCCAGTAACCATTGCAATAACAAAAAAGCAAAGAAAATGTATTTATTCAGCACATTGTATAAATGGAAAAGGCTAACTAGGTATATAAATGGGAATCAAATGAGGGCTATAAACTATATGGTTCCTCCTGAGACAAAATGGATACATATCTTTAGGAATTTTCCCATATTTGGAGAATGGATTGTGTCTTGTTCGTGTGTTACAGAATGGAGATGCTCACCCATCACCTATCTAGAACTTCTGAGACACAGCTGTTCTTAGGTGCAGTCCAGTCCATTACAACTCAAAGTTACTCTGTGAACAACAGACCCTAACCTTGACCTGTCCTGGGTTATCCTCATCATGTCTTATATGCTTGATCCCATCCTTACAGTCCCTGCATCAGTTCCTCTTTTTGAATGTCCTCCTCTCTTTCTCTGACACCACTCCCCGCCACCTTTCCCAGCATGATGTCTCTTTCCAAGGACTGGGCCCTCCTGACATCATGCCCAAAGTATGTGAGACAAAGTTTCACCATCTTTGCCTCTAAGAATGCATTATATACCTTTCTCCAAGATAGACTCGTTTGTTCTTTTGGCAATCCATGGAATATTTAATACTCTCCTCCATCTCTACAACTCAGTGGAGTTATTTTGTCTTCTGTAATTTTACTTCATTTTCCAGCTTTCAGATGAATACAGAGAAATTAAAACAACCATGTCTTGGATTAGACATTAAATTAAAGACATTAGACTTTAAGCTCTAGCACTTTGGAGAGGTTTTTGACAGATTTTTCCCAATGCAACTCATCTTTTTATTTTTTGAGTGTTGTTGCTGTGATTGTTGATTGTGGGCACAGATAAGATGAAATCACCAACAACTCCAATCATTTGTCTGTCTAACATGACGCTTCCTATCAGTTCAAGTTTTGTTGTGTGCCCTTGAGTTGGAATCAACTTATAGCTGACCTTCCAACAGGTTTTCAGACGCAATAAATCATATGGGAGAAGATTGCTCTTCTTTCTCCCCCTGAACTGATGATAAATTTGAACAACAAGCCTTATAGGGAGTATATTTATTTTCTTGATATGAAGATGTAATACATGCAGTTCTTATTCTGGACTGTTGTTTCCCTCATCTGTTTTAATGCAGTGTACATCATTTATCCCCTCTTTTTTTTTAGTTTTCCCCACCCCAATTTCAGTCCTGTTTTATAACAGTGGCATTATATGCAGTATTTGTCCTTTTGTGACTGACATATTTCATTCAGCATAATGTCCTCCAGGGTCACCCATTTTGTATTTTGCATGAGTTCCTTGTTTTTTAGTGCTGCATAGTATTCCATGTGTGAATATACCACAGCTTCTCTGTCCATTTGTTGTTGTTGTTTTTTTTTTTTGATACATAAGAGCTGTATAGTAAAGTGGACTGGGGTGGGGGTGGGGAATTGTACAACAATGAAAGAATTTTTTTTTTTCAAAAAGAAAAGAAAACGGGGGTTGGTAGGGAGGAAAATGTGCAACAATTAATGAATGGAAATCCAACTTCTCTATAAACTTTCATTTAAATCTCTATAAAAATTGGTAATATTTGAATGCTTAACTACTGTATTACTAAGGCTTCTTTACAAACTCTAGTCTAATTGAAGTGGTAAGTGAATGTCCAGGGCCAGTCATGACAGAATGAATACATCTAGATTATTCATAAATTAAATATTCTAAGACCTATTAAAACTGTATAATTAATTTCTCTGTAATTAGGAAATAGTTAAAAGATTTATTAAATCATAATGATTATAAAAAAATAATGCATGTTGATTGTGAATAGACAGTTAATTACTCATATGCAAGGCCAAATTAAAACTGAGGAACGATAAAACAACCTGTGAGAGCTGGAGAGCACATATAGTGCTGTGTCTGTTTGTTGAAATATCTCAGTTGATATTCTGTCAATTTCTGGGACCTTATTTTTGGCCATCATCTTTAGTACAGCTTGAATGTCTTCCTTCATTACCACTGGTTCTTGATCACAGGCAACTTCATAAAATGATTCTGTGTTAGCCAATTCTCTTTGTTACAGTAACTGTATTTCCTCAATCTCCTTTAGCGGCTTCCTATATCATTCAAGATTTTGCCCATAAAATCTTTGAGAATTGTACTTCAAGGTTTGAGTTTGTTCTCCAGTTCTTGAAGCTTGAGAAATGCCAAGTGAATTCTTTCCATTTTACTTTTATGACTCAACCAGCTTCTTGTATGTTTCGTTACAGTACTTTGCTTTGTCATCTCAAGCTGCTCCTTGAAATCTCCTGTTTTCACTGCAGTATAAATTCCCTTTGTTTTGACCTCTATCTGTCCTCACTCAGAGGGAGCTTTGGTGGCTTTGTAGTAAAGAGTTGGGGTACCAACCCAAAAGCATGTGGTTCTAATCCACCAGCTGCTCTGTGGAGAAGGATGGGCAGTCTCCTTCCATGCGATTTACTGCCTCTGAAATCTTGCTAGAGGGTCAGCTGGGATAGCTTCTAACTCAGTGACACACAACAGCAACAATGTCCTAGTGCAATAATCAGAGTGTCTTCTGACATCCCTTTTGATCTTTTCTTTCTCCCCCGTCTTTATAATAATCTTCCTGATCTTCAGTCAGTGCTGCTCAGTGCATCAAATCTATTTTTTGAGGCAATTTTAAAATTCAGGTGGGATAGAGTCAAGGTCACATGTTGGTTCTCTTAGATGATAATGAGTGATTGGTGTATCGGGGGCAGCCTTGATGGTCTTAAAACAATATAAAAAGACTTGCACAAATTAGTAGAATTAATTAATATACATAAATTACTTTGCATATGTCTGATTTATTTTCAAATTTTTATTTTGAAAAATTTGACTGATGTAATCATGAAATCTGCTCCTGGAAAATTATTTTTGTTAATACTATATTTATGTTGATACACATATATATTTTTGTATATTATATATCTCTTAATTGTATAGTTTGTAATATATTACATTTTAAAGCTAGGTTTCCTTTTTTTAGTTGTACAGTTTGTAACATTTAAACATGAAAAACTAGTATTCTTACACTTTCTTAAAGTGTTTTCAATCTTGTAAATAATTTAGAACTCCAAATATTTCTGTGTGTTGTGTTGAATTAACAATATGTTAAACTAACCCCTAAGCTGCCTTCAGGGATTTAAGTTAAATGAATAAAATTACTCCTTTTATTTTGTTTGTGAGAAAGTGATAGAGCATGAGAGAATGTGAATGATAGACTGTTTCAATCAAATTATTATTCAGTAAAAGCTTACATTGGTCGCTATTGCTATTTATTTTTATTTCCAGCTTTATTTTCTCCTGCCAAATGGATGATTTAGCTCCTTAGCCAAAAACTTTCCACATTGGCTTTCTGTTTTAATTAGCTTGAACAATAGAGTTAAAAATGCAATTTATGTTAAACTAAAAAATTTGACCATTTTCTATTTTTTGACAGAAATGTTCTTTATGAAGGTGGTGCTGTATCTGTTCACGCGCGCTCCCTTTGGAGACTAGAGACACTGAGAGTTGCGTAAGTAAGAAATCATCATGTTCTTTGAGTTGTAAGATGAAATTCGGGTTGTTTACCTGTGACCTGTGTGCCTATGTGAAATAGCAGTGGCAACAGCAGCGAACAAGCAGATGAAGCTCTGAGAAGTTAAGTGGGAGTTTCTCTCTTCTCCCTTCCCTTCCTCCAACCTTGGCCTCCCTTTCATTAGGTAGAGCTAGCTGGAGAGATGAGTCATTGTTTGCCATTAAGTTAGAATCAACCCATAGCCGACTGGCCCTCCAGCAGGTTTTCAGAGATTGTAAATCTCAGAGGAGGGGATTGCACATCTTTCCCACAGCTGATAGATTAAAACAGTTTACCTTCTTCAGATGTATTTTTCCAGTATTTATAAATAATACATTTCCTTTTTGAAGAGTAGAGTAACGACTTTATTACTAAAAATCCTTTAACTTGCTGTTGCCAGTAGACAAATTTTATACCTATGAGAATTTTGCAATTTTATCAAGGTTTGTTGTTGTGTACCGTCGAGTCAGAACCGACCATAGCTCACCCTCCTCTCTGGGTTTTCAGAAGCAGTTAATTGCATGGCAGGAGACTGCCCGTCCTTCTCCTGTGGAGCTTACAGATTCAAACTTTGTGCTTTGGGATTGCAGTGAAGATTCAGACCACTAGGCCACCAGAGATCTCTTTACCAAGATTTATTGGTACATAATTATTAATTTAGTTGTGAAACTTCTCCATATTCATTTCAAGTCCGTGGAAGAATTAACTTCTTGCATGACTCTACTATTCAGTTTTCATGCTTGTTCTAAAGTAGAGATTCCAGGCTTGGAAGAGGTACACACACACACACACACACACACATATATATATACACACACACACATACATATACATACATACACACACACACACACATACAAAACACAAGGTATCTATCTATCTAACTGCCATAGTAGGTTTTCAGAGGCAGTTAATTGCACAGGAGGATATTGCTCATCTTTCTTGTGATATACGTGTATGTGTGTATGTGTATACATGCACACACATATAATATTTAGACATATATGTGTGTATACATGCATACATATTTAGATTCCTGTGTGTAGAGTTTATGTATGTATGTATGTATGTATATATGTATATAGTTAATATCAGTGAACGTACAGAAAGGGTTTTCAATGTTTAAAGTAAAAAACATTTTAATGACTCAATATTAAAACCAGTTTCCTATTTAAGAAAGTAATTATGAAAAATTTCACATCTTTACTACTTTTTATCTATTTGGTTAATTGATTTTGGTAAAATGTTATACTGTCTCCTAATAAGCTATCTTTGCATTTCTTTTCTTTTCTCTTTGTTCTCATATGAAAAAAAGCTTTATAACAAATATTCTTTTAGAGTATCCGTTTTCCCTGTAGGAGCTCTGGTGGTTTTACCTTTACAAAATATCTGTCTTTAGCCTTTTTATATTATTTTCCTTCAGTTTTAGTTTGTCTGGCATCAACTTTGCCATCGTTATTTTATTTCAGCATTTCATTGCATGGTAAATCTTTTTAACTAATTTATTTAATCTAATTTTATATACTCACTAATGTTCTGGGACCTAATGAATAAGGATCTTCATTGCCACCCAAAGGTGAACCGTTTGAATCCACCAGCTGCCCTGAGGGAGGAAAATGGGCATTCTCCTGCTGTGCGATTTTCAGCTTCCAAAAACCTAGTGAAGGGTCAGCTATGGGTCATTTCAGCCTCAGTGGTAGTGAACATAAATCTATAGCAAACATTGCCTTTTTGACATTTTTCCATGTCCTGTCGATGGCATTGATTATGTTCATCATGCTTTCCAAACATTACCACTGTTTATAAATTTTTATGTCACTTTTAGCACAAGCCTAAGTCTTTTATTTTTCCTCCTTGTCACCTTTGAGAACCACTAATAAACTTCTTCCATTTCCCTGTTCTAACTATTTCATATGACTAAGACCACATGGGGTTCCCTAGTGGCCTAGTCTGTAGGGAATTGGGCTGCTAATCCAAAATTGTTGTCTCTGGTGGTTCAAGTCTACCAGTGAACCTGAGGGAAGAAGATACACAGTCTCCTCCTATGTGATTTAGCAACCTCAGTGGAGGGCCAGCTGTGAGCTGACTCTGACTCCATGGCAATGACTGCTGTGTTGCCCAGGGCTGTGCTGACTAAAAGTTGTGGTATCAGAACTGGCCTCTGCCCGAGGAGTGCAGCTGTGGTCCTCATAGATAAAGCTGTATTATGTAATGTGGGACATATCTGCCCATATTGCATAATAAAGAATAGATCTTTTTCTATTATATCTGAAAGTCTTATTATTTAACAATATCAATTACAATTTCTTAATTTTATCTCTTTGTTAAAGCTTAATTTGCAGCATATACTTATTTTTTGTATTCTTCCTCTTTTACTTTTAAATAACTGATTTTTGGTTTTCATCAATTTAAAAATATATGTTGTTCAATTACATTGAAATTTAAAACATAAGGATAAAATTCTTTTGTACATAAATTTTATAAATATGCAATTTAATTCAAATATTCTTGTTATAGTATGCCTTCAAATTAGAGCCAATTAATAGCTCTGACTTTTTTAGTGGGTTTTCAGGGGTGATGAATCACATGGGAGGGCATAGCTCACCTTTCACCCACAGAACAACTGGTGAATTTAGATCACATGCCTTCGTTTGGTGATATAACTCTATCTGTAGACTACTAGAGTTCACTTTTTAATATGAATTCTAATTTATAGGTTACTCTAGTGGCTTGGTGGTAAGAAATTACACTGCCTGTGCAAAGGTTTGCAGTTTGGATTTATCAGCTTCTCCATAGGAGAAAAGTGGACATTCCCCTTCCATGCAATTACTGCCTCCCAAAACCTGCTGGAGAGTCAGCTATGAGTACTCAGCAAGTATTCATAGTATTACCAAGTATTACCAGTTGAATATAATACTATCATTTCCCCTTATCTATCCTGTACAAATATAACGCGTCTCTAAAATATAACTAGATGTTCTAATTTATATGTAATTGTGGTTATGATTAGCAGTTAACTTGGAATACAAGTCTCCATGTAGGGCAGTGTCTAAAGCCTTCCTTCAAAATCAGACACCTTAGCTTACACATCACTCTACTTATTATTAGGTGTGTAGCCTTGGGAATTAATCATTCTGGGTAATGATTTTGTTAATTATAAATAATTCCACCAGCATAAGTTTTTTGAGAACATTAGATAAAAATGTGTTTGTAAGCCATGTTTATTCACTGTCTCCATGTGCATCTTACTTGCTGTTTCTCCTGCTATTGTGGCTGTTACTGCATGTAGTACTCCCTGTTTTGGTAGATGGAGTGGAAGCCATATAAGATGGGGCCAGCCCTTCCGACTCCGCCACGTGACAACAGGAAAATACCTGAGTCTCATGGAAGACAAAAACCTTTTACTCATGGACAAAGAAAAAGCTGATATAAAATCAACAGCATTTACCTTCCGGTCTTCCAAGGTAAGACAGGAAGTATTATTTTGAATTTATGATAAGTCTATCCCTGTTGCATTTCCTTTGATGCTAAAAAATGCAAAGATTAAATGACCTGAATTAATGTATTTTACATGTATTTCTATATGTCCCCTTCCATCTTTTCCTGTGCAGTTAGACTTGTTCTTTAAACCACAAAAATGTATCCAGGTGTTCTATGTAGTTTGACATTCTATGATTAGTTACCTGTGACACAGTGGTCTGGCTCTTTATGCTTTTTTATGTATTGTCAAGTTGCACAGTCTCCATCTTCCTTGTGCTCTTGTGTCATTAAATATAAAGAAACTAATGGTCATTGAGTTATTTTTTTATTCAGGTGGTGACCCCATGTGTGTCAGAGTGAACTCACACTCGGGGAACGGTATTTAGTGATTTATTTTTCACATGTAGTCTAGGCCATTCTTCTGAACAAGATTTGAACCAATTCTTTCCAGTTCGGTTACATCCATTAAACTGTAAGTGGGACAGGCCTGGATTTGTAAAGTGTTTGCAGATTAGACAGTCAATAACAACTGTAACAACCAGAACAATGACATAAGTTTGAGAAAGCATATGCCAAGGCCTTCTGGAAACTTGGTTTCCATGTTGGAAAAAGAAGAGCAGCATGTTCATTGCATGACAAACCTATCTCTTGATTAGCAGAGTTGGAAATAGCAGTGCCCTGCTCAAAGATGGCAGCCAGCCCTACTACTCTGAATGTGTGTTGCTGTCCATAATTCTGGTAATAATCCTATCTCTTTGGAGTCTCTCATTCTAGAATTTTTAACTATATTTTTTCCTCTTTATTGTTCCTTTTCACCCAAAATTTAAAATTCCAAGTCTGTTTCTATTTTGCTGTGTCAGCTGTGACTGAGTTCTAAGAGATTGAGAACCTTGTTTCTGATGCACCTCTGGGTAGACACTCCAGCCTTGCACTAAGTAGCCAAGCTTAGTTATACTCTTTACATTTTCCAGAGGCTTCTTCTTGTAAACCAGATTGATTTCAAATATGTTTACATTGCTATTTACTCATGCAGATAAACCTGCTTATCACTATTGCATCATTTGTAAGAATGAAACATCTCAGAGACCTTCACATATTTAATGATAATTTTTCTGAACCAGTCAGTGAATAGAACAGCCATAAATAAGGTGACATCAAAGCTCAGGTGAATACCAGTCCTTCAGCAGAGGTTTTCAGTACACTAACACACTCCACATCCTAAGCAATTAAGTGTCTTAAGAAGAGTTGAGGCAGAATAAAGGGTATACTATCCACACAAAAAAGAATAGTTGAAAATCACATGTTCAATTTACAGTTGCTAATAAGTTGTTTAATGAGGAGAAGTGTGGCATTAGGATTGGAGGTAGACTCATCAACAGTCTGCGATATGCAGATGACACAACCCTGCTTGCTGAAACTGAAGCGCTTGCTGCAGAGGGTTAAGTATTGCAGCCTTCAATATGGATTGAAGCTCAACATCAAGAAAACAAAGATTCTCACCACTGGGCTAATTGGCCACATCATAATAGATGGTGAAAAGATTGAGCTTGCTGACAGCTTCAGTTTGCTTGGCTCTGCAATCAACACTATTGGTACCAGCAGCCAGGAAATTAAAGGATGAATTGTATTGGGATAGTCTGCTCTCAGAGACCTGTCCAAAGTACTGAAGAGCAACAATGCCAGTCTGGTGACTAAGATGTGCCTGATACAGGCCAGAGTCTTTGCAACTACTTGCTATGCATCAGAGAGCTAGATAATGACTGGGGAGGATAGAAGAAGAGTTGATGCCTTTGAGCTGTGGTGCTCAAGAAGACTATTGAATATACCATGGTTGCTAGGAAAACAAACACATTCATCCTGGAGAGGGTTAAACTAGGCTGCTCCTTGGCAGCAAGGATTCTGAGGCTTTGTTTGACATACTTTGGGCATGTTGCCAAGAGGGGCCTGTCCTTGGAGAGGGACATGATGCTGGGAAAGGTGGAGGGTCAGACAGAGAGGAGAACCCTTGGTGAGATGGACTGATACCATTGCTGTGGCACATCAGATGTCACAAAAACGGTGCTGGATGGGGCAGGTTTCAGATCTGTTCACAGCATCATAGTTGGAAGTAGTAGTTAATTTGATGGCACCGAATATCAAGAGCATGGCATATCATTGTATGCAAAGACCAGTTGCTATTGACTCTTCCTCAAGAACTGCACTCCACGAGGTATAGTCACTGGCTTATTTTTCAGAAGTAGGTCACTGGGTCTTTCCTTGGTTGTGCCTTTAGGTGGATTCACACCTCCAACCTTTTGCTTAACAGCTAAATTGATGTTGTCGTTGTTGTTAAGTGCTGTTGAGTCGTAGGCAACTCATAGCGACCCTGTGAATGAAAGTACTTGACACTTGTGTGACTTTCATCCTTTCTCCAGGCTCATAGGGTTTCTGGAGGCAAGCTATTTATGGAAGTGGATGCCACTCCTGCTTCCAACAGCTAATTACTTAACTATCACTTCTTTCCATTAATGTTCTTTCCATCTATGTATCTACATCTCTGCACCTCATATCTGTGAGGGTCTTTAGGGTATCTAAGCCTAGCAGCCTGCCTGGGACTTCTTTCACTTATGAATCTTCAAGGGCTGTCCCTGGGCTTGTCCTGGTAACCCAGGAGCTTGAAGTCCTACTATTCAGAAGTAGGACCCCCTCTTTGTCCTCCTCCTTGACTTCTTAAATAATTGTTCACATTCTCTGATCCCCTTTAGGCTGACAGACAAAGCTTAGCATTGTAGATATTGATCATTGCATCAGGCATCAGGATGATGAGTCACCTGCACTGAGAGCTGGACTGAGGGATGCTGAAGACACAGTGGGCTTATATGTCTCCACCCCAGACCACTTGGCCAGAATGGACACCTTCATGGCGAGCCAACCACCCTGGATAGCAGGGCTGCTTGTGGGAGATGTGCCCTCACTGGGTTCCACAGAAGGGAAGTCGCACTGGCAAGCTGCACTCTTCCAGGTCTGTGGGCTCTAGAATCCTACTGTGGATGTAAAAAGCTGAATGCTCATTCTGCCTTTCTCTTCCCATACTTTCTATGGAAATCCACATTTTCCATGAGATGGTTGAGCAAACTGTATATTGCTCCATTTATAAATACATCCGTAGATGCATCTGCAACTTTATCCACCAGTCCTAATAAATGTCAAAGGTGAGGATAATTTTTGTATTGTTTTTGTTATGTGCCATTGAATTGCCTGTGACTCATTGCGATCCTATGTACAATAGCTCTCAAGCCTGCTCTCTAACCTGAGCCAGTCTCACTGACTCTGACACACCTAATCCCATTGCCTCAGGTACTGTGCCAATCCATCTCATCCAGAGTCTTCTTCTCATGTGCTGACTCTCCACCCTTCCAAGTATCATATCCTTCTCCAAGGACTGGTTCTTCCTGGCTACATGTCCAAACTATTTGAGGTCGAGATTCAAAAGCTTTGCTTCCAAGGAGAAACTTGGTTTTATCCTTTTCAAGACAACTGTTTGTTCTCTTTGCAGTCCATGTTATGTTCAATACTCTTTTCCAGCACCAAAACTCGAAACTATCATTTTTTATTCTTTCATGCTTAGTTATTGTTCAGCTCTCTGAAGCATAACAAGTAATTGTGAAGACCATGGCTTGGATAAGGGACATCTTAGTCTCTAGACTGATACAGTTGCTTTTCAACACTCTGACAGCAGATTCTCCCCATGCAATTTGTCTTTTGATTTCCTGAATGCTAGTGCTAAGAGTATGATTGTGAAGCAGAGCAAGCTGTAATAGTTAACAAACTTCAGTCTCTTCTCCATCTATCATGATGCTGCCAGTTGGTCCAGTGGTGAAAATCTTTGTCTCCTTGATAGTGAGCTTCAATCCATATTGAAGATCACAGTCCTTGACTTTCTGCAGCAAGTGTTTCAGGTCCTCCTCAGTTTCAGCAAACAAAGTTGTGTCATCTACATATCATGGGTTGTTGATGAGTCTTTCTCCAATCCTGATGCCACATTTCTGCAAATAAATCTCAGCCTCCCATAGGAGCTGTTCCGTGTATAGATTGAAAAGGTATGGAGATAGGGCACATCCCTGATGCACTCTTTCCCGGATTTTGAACCACGCAGTGTATAGCAAATATAAAATAATAGCAGTGGATAAGGATGCATGTGTAAATTGGTTTCATCTTTTTTTGTCAGGGAGAAACATGTGAGAGGAAACAAACATCCAGCCCTAAATCATATTGTTGAGTATGATCAAGTTAGAACAGACTCATACCTGTCCCTCTAGCAGGTTTTCAGAGGTAGTTAAATGCATATGAGGAGATTGTCCATCTTTCCATCACTGAACAGCTAGCTGGTGGATTTGAACCACATATCTTTGAATTGACAGTCCTTACTACTCAGCTATATAAATGAATCAAAGAGTATACTGATCTGGAATGGTATTTGTGATAATATAGATGTACTGAGGCAGGGAAGCTGGAATATAATGTAGTTTGTGCCTTCAAGTTGGAGCCAACTCATAGTTGTCTGTCTAGCATGCTTCCAAGGCTTTTATAACAGGAGGAAATTACCCATCTTTCTCCTGTAGAGTACTGGTGAAATTGCCTGCCTGTGGGTTCACAATGCAAGTTCTAGCCATTAGGCTTTATGAATCTTGTTGGTTTTTTAAACCAACAATTATGTGTGAAGCCAGAAAGTGTGCCTATAAAAATGTGAAGTCAGGGAGAAGTTGTACATTTTTTTACATTTCTGATAAAGCTATGTTGTCTGTTAGAGTGGACCTATTTCTTTTCTAATAAAAAATATTAAAAGGGAAAAAACTTACCCATTGCACTTAATAGTCTTGAGCATAAGTTTTATATACATTTCTTACTTAATTCCTTATGATGGGTTCCTAAAAAAATTAAAATCGTGACTGAAAAGCTCTGAATATTTTTCCAAGCTGTAGACACATCCTGCCCAAAGCAATAG